GGAGAAACAGTTAAATCCACAACTGCAATCTGATACTGTTTATTTTATTTTATTTTTTTTTGAGACAGAGCCTCAAGCTGTCCCCCTGGGTAGAGTACCCTGGCATCACAGCTCACAGCAACCTCCAACTCCTGGGCTCAAGGGAGTCTCCTGCCTCAGCCTCCCAAGTAGCTGGGACCACAGGCACCCACCACAGCATCCGGCTACTTTTTGCTTGCAGCTGTCATTGTTGTTTGGCGGCCCGGGCTGGATTTGAACCTAACACCTTACGTGTGTGTGGCTGACACCTTAGCCACTTGAGCCACAGGTGCTGAGCCTGATACCGTTTATTAACTCTGATAGTTTTTTAAGGGTTACTTAGGTGGTTAATTGATTTTGACAAGTGTGCCAAGGCAAAGCAGTGGAGAAAGGAAAGCCATCTTAATAAATAATGCTGGAACAATGGAACATTCATACACAAAAAACAAACAAAAACTCTCATCCATTCCTTGAAAAATACACATAAAACCAACATTGCAACCATAAGAGAAAAGAAATGATGAAAGATTTCTTCAAAATTAAGGACTTTTGCCCTTCGAAAGACACTGTTAAGAGAATGAACAGGTGAGTCACCGGCTGGGTGACAATGTGTTCACGTCACACAGCTGGTAAAGAACTTGTCTCAAATAGTTAAGGAACTCACTCATCCCAAAAATAAAACAACTCAATGTCTTAAAAATGGGCGAAAGATCTGGACACACAGTCATGACCGAAAATATCCAAGGGGCAAATAAACACATGAAATGATTAGCCATTCAGAAATGCAAATTAAAAAACAAGATGTCATCCTACAACTAGTAAGATGGCTAAAATTAACAAGCCCTAACATACCAAGTAGTGACAAAAATGTGGAAGAACCAGAACTCTTATGCTTTACTTATGCAACTACACCATGGTACAGTGACTTTGTAAAACAGTCTGCAGTTTCTTCAAAGGTTAAACACACACCTACACATAATTCTACTCCTATGCATTTACTTAAGAGAAAAGAAAGCATACAAGTGTATAGAGAGCCTTGCAGACAAATGAATGTAGCAGCTTTATTGTAATAGCCAAATGCAAGAGATAATCTAAATTTTCATTAACATGTTAATGAACAACCAAATAGTACAATAGCCATAAAAATATTGGCATTCTTTGCCAATGAAAAAGAACGAATCACACATACAACTGCATCAGTGAATCTCAAAATTATTGTGTGGGGTGAAAGAAGCCAGAACAAAAAGGGTGTATGTTGTAAATTAGCCAGTTTAGAATACAACAGTAAATTAGCATTGATGGGGGGGGGGCTTTAAACAACAAACATTTACTTCTTACAGTCCTGGAGGCTATGAAGTCCAAGATCAAAATGTCACCAGATCCAGGGTCTTGTGAGGGCCCATTTATTGATGGCCGTCTCCGTG